CCGCTTCTCGGGTCCCTCTGGTCCCGGTGCCTGGCGCTCTCCGAGGTCCTAACCGAGAGGGCGGGTCTGCCGCAGGCTCCACCCCCGCCGTGGGGGGTAGGCCCCGCCCCAGCCGGCCCGCGCCCTCCTCCCTCTCCCAGCCTCTCACGGCGGGGGCGGGGCCCTCTAGGCGCCAGAGGGCGGGACATCCTCTCGCCAATGACAAGCTTCACTGACCTGTGTCCCCGGGACTCCAGGCAGGAAAGAAGTTTGGGGATAGGTCGGTCGAAAAGCCAGTGACAGGAGGAGGGGATAATTTAGGAAAGTAGGGGAGGTATTTGATTGACAGCCTTAGTAGCCAGTATGCCCTGGCGCCGTGCTTTGGGGGCTGTAATTGGCGCTACCTGTTGAAGGACGCAAGTGTGAATCAATAGAATGCTCGCAAGCTGGAGAACTTGGCGCTCCAGGAGTCCGAGGCTGCAGGGCGGGTTACCTTGGGTCTCGCTCTGGACCATATTGTGATCTGGACTTTTTTTTTTCCCAGCCTTTTTTCCTTGTATCTCTTCTGCTCTCCAGGTGCATCTATTGGGCTCCCTTCGCCGTCCTGCTATCTGCGTCTAACGTGGATTTGTAAATAATCCATACAAACTGTTAGCCTCCTTATGGCTTAACAGGTGACCTTTACCAAAACGAATTGGTTTTCGATGGAATGGTGGCTTCCAGATTTTAAGGAATTGTCTGCCCAGCTTTGCACAGTCTATGAAATAGACCAACGGTCCCCTTCTTCACACAGACAAATTAAAATTTCAAGGAAACATTTCTCTCCAACCATGTCAAGATTCATTTTAAGCTTTTTCTCATTTGGATAATTTTGGGAAATACTCTATTCCATACAGGAAAACAAAACAGCGCACCATTATGGGGAGACGTAGTTCAGAGTCCCGACTGGTTGTTCTTAAAAGGCAACTTAGGGTCCATAATTAACAGTACACTTCAGTCTGAGCAACACAACAGAGACCATTAGTAATCATTCCAAATATTTATTGTCTTATATCTTAGATAAAGGACGACATCCGCAGCCCCTCCCCTTTCTCTTTCAGAGGAGAGATGAGAAGAAGAAAAAGGGGACATTTGACTGTTATATGAATTACTCATGCACGTAGCAAAAGAACCATGGTGATGGAATAGCGCTCGGATTTTCACATACTCAGCTCAATGCTCACATTCTCATTTTGAGTGTTTAATTCCTCAACGTTTGTATTACCTTTTTGTGACCCCTTTATACTTTCATTGTCACAACTAGATAGTAACGTTCTTAAGGGCAGGAATGGAATTTTGTGCTTCTAGTTAATTTAGCACCTGCCACAATATTTAACTTGCAAAAAACAGTTAAGGGTTTTTGGACAATGGACTAGTTAATAACTATCAGTTAAAGATTTATGAAATGATACCAAAATTTGGAAGATTGGGAGGGGTGAAAAAATAAGTGTATAACAAATTCCATGTTATAAACTAGATCTTGGCATGCTTCTAAATTCTATATTAGATTCCAAACAATATGTATTTCTGTCCTTATCTGTCTTCTCTCACCCTTTTTTCTTACTTCTGGCCCGTTGTTCACTCCAAACATGGGTGTCAATGCAAGCTAAAAGATTTTCTTTCCTTCAGCAAAATTAACCTACCTGCAACTCCTTAAGCATTGAATGAATGAAGACAAGTCCATAGCATCTGGAGGTCTGGTCTTGTGGTGAAAGCGAAGAAAGAAGATATCCCAGTTCAGAAAAGAGAGAAAGAATGTTTACAAACAAAACCTGAATCACTTATCACAAGCATTGCACTGTCACAAACTAGGTGGTGGTCTGTAGTCTATAAAACAAAAGGCCGAAGGGGGAAAGCATATGAAACAGATTGACAAAAACTTTTCTGAAGATCACAAAGGGAATTCTGTTGAGGGTTTTTTTTTTTTTTTTTAAGTAATAAAGCACACAGTCATCCTGCTGGAACAAATAGGTATAAAATGTAGGAGAAAAGTCATGTCAAAATATATAAAGGCTTCCAGGCTGAAGAGATGGCTCAGTAGTTGGGAGCACTGGATTCAATTCCAAAGGACCTGGATTCAATTCCCAGCACCTACAAGACAGATCACAACTGTCTGTAACTCCAGTTTCAGGGGATCCCTCACCCTCACACAGACACGCAGGCAGGTAAAACACCTACACATATAAAATAAAAATCAGTAAATCATCTTAAATATGTATATATGTATATGTATATATACATATATATATATGTATACATGGTTCCAAATTAAATATTAGAAACCTAAAACAACTGGAAATATGACTTCATGGTGAGACAGTTGTCTAACAAGTGTAACTCTGCTTCTATTCTCATAAACACACACACAAACCAAATTAAAACTAAAATGAATTAATATACTTAGGACTCTCTGGCATTAATCTAAATATTAGCAATAATCTACAGTAATCTACAATAACATATACATGGCAAGTACCCAGCATATATTAACTTGAATAAAATACGAATGTGAAAATTTTAACATAATTGTAATGGGTAAAAGAGATAAAAATCTCCTGTGGACAAAAAATATGGTGATGACAGCCTAGACTATAAGTAAAGACAGGAACTGACAGAAAGCAGAAGGCACCTTGGGAGCTAGGAAACAGCACCGGCCACTTCTACAGAAGAACCTTGCTCCATGAATCATGGTGAAATATGTGTGGAAGCGCATTCCATCCTGAATTAAAAAGCAACGGGGTGTTATTCTATAAACCATTTGGCAGCAGAAATGAGATCAAAGCGTACAATATATCTTTAAAACAACAGGGGAAAATGCCAAAGCTGGATCAAGTACCCTTAAGGAATAGCATCACACTGTGGAATTGCCTGAGTGGAGTTCTGAATTAACCCTGATTTCTTCCTACCTACATGGCAAGTAGAAAGAGCTCCCAGAAAGAAAAGCTGTCTGAGCTTGATGCTTGCAACAAAGTAATTAAAGCATTCAATGAAACTAATAAACTGGAAGGAGTTTTAGAATACTTGTTGGAAGCATGTGACAACTCTCTTTAAGGAGTCATCATCTTGGCCTAAAGCCAACTATGAGGCTGATCAAAGCCACTTTTCCACACCAAAAGACAATCAAATAATAGCCCAAAAAATGTACTTGTGTGGCATTTCAACTAGAAAGGAGGATTGGTGGAGTTGGCTGGGCTTTAAGAAAAGCAAGCAGGGAGGCAAAGCAAGCATATATAAAGTTCTAAGGGGTGGATGTCACCTACATTCCAAACACCAGAAGTTATGGACCGGACAAACATCTCGTCAATTTACTCCTCATTATACTCAGAGACAGGCAGCCATTCTCCCCACATTACACAGAAAGGAAAACTTCAGGCTCAGAAAGAGCTCTGCCCAAGGCTACTTGAGATAATCTCATCCTCCAATCTAGGAATGATTTACAGGACCACATTCCTACTCGCTTGCCTATCACTAATCAGAGGACTGGACAGACTAGAATAGGAGAGGGTGATCAGATATTCTGGGAAATGTGAATATATGCAATCTATCTGACAGAACTCTTATAACAAAATAGCACAGATTGGGTACCTTTAACAAGAAAATGTATTTTCTCACCATTTTGGAATTTAGAGTTCTAAAATCAAGGTATCAGCAGTCTTAGTTTCTTCTGAAGCCCTAATTGACTCATACCTAGCCACCTCCTCCGTGTCTTGCTTAGTCTGTTGTCTGGGGACCAGAACCCTAGGTTTCTGTGTGTCAATATTCCCTCATCCTATGACATCCACCAAACTGTAGTAGATCCCATCTTAACGGCTTTGTTTGAATGTAATCTTTAAGGCCGCCGGTTTCAAAGGAACTTGCTTCCTGAGGTAAGGTTGGGGCTTCAAAGTATGAACTTGGGCGGAGGGCTACAGTTTAGCCCATAGCAATGCAATCATCAAATTTGTTGTTTTTTGGAGAGCATCTACTGTACACTAGATCTATGTCAAT